TATACATGTGAAGGTAGTTTTTGTCCAGTAAATGTTAAAACAATTGACTGAGTGGGGATCCACTCTGGGGTATTATTAGAGAATATTTTCCTACAGAGCCTGCGGGCTTTAACTATTTGCCCAAATCCTGGTGGGATCTCTAGGGAGTCAACTAGTTCTTCCAAGGTCCATTCCACTAGCACTTGCCTTATTACACCCATTCTAGTGATACTATAGCTGGGAATAATTGCTTCATAACCAGCATTAGCAAGGGCCGCATGGTCAATAAAAACATTTGCGTCCGTAAATGTCTTAAATTCTACTGACATCCTGTTTCTACCTACCCGCTTAACGCCATCTTTAACTACATTTTTAATTTTATTTTGAAATAGGAAATGTCCTAGTTTGAGGGGTCGTAAGACAGCACCAGACGAGGGGTCTGAAGCTTTTTTGCCCACATGGACCAAGAATGGGGCACAATCCTCCTCAGAATACTTAATTTTATTGTTAGAAAAACGTGGGTTAATGAATGTTGTCTGAACTGACGCACCTTGCGATACGTTCGATTTTTTTGGAGGTTGTGAAGCAACCTGGTCTGTAAGTGCACGTTTTTTAGGTTTTTGCGAGCTGGGGAGATCGGGTGAGAACAGAGAGACCGATGGTATGATATCCTCGAATTCGATGTCGCCTCCACCGGGGTCTGGCGGATCCGCCATTATGACTATCTTATTTTAAACCGAACAAATAGTAAAAACTTACCGTGAACTATACAGTTAAACCCACCACCAACAAATAAACACTTAAAATAAGTCAACAGGGGATTCAAATATCCTTTAAACTTGAAATTTTCGTTGAGCAACAAAAACACATGTGACTAGCACACACACTGACAGCAAAGTCCCATGTTAACAATAACAACAACAATTCGATGACAAGCATGACAGTGACAGTTATAGTTTTTTGCGTTAGAATTGTCGCCATACTCTTTTTGTATTGTGGAAATTATTTATTATGGTTTCCGTATAATATTGAAAAATAATGTTTCCCGATATTTTTGATAGATAATTAAATACAGTTCAAGCGTAAAGCGATGCAAAACATACGAACAACGTATTTAAAGTTGATTTCATCACTAAAATCACTTAAAATAAATGGCTCAAAAGCCATGAATCCAAGCCACAATAAAAATAAAAAATAAATAGTCAGTTGTGTTTCCCTTTATTAAGTTTTTAATTCCAGACTTAGACAACCCTCCTGAATCGTTTGATAAATCTTTTGAGATTATTTTAGTAACATTTCTGATAATGACATCTATAGACGCTAAAGATTTACTTCAACAAAAATTTCGCCATTGTCCTTTACCAGTTTTCTATCTGGATGCTTACTATGATCGACCAAAATTCCGATTCAGTACCCTTAGTACATTCGCAAACTATTCGAATTCGATAATGGTTCGTGTTAAGGGTACTGTTCTGAATAAGAACTGATTAAGTTCTGCTTTAATTTCGTACTATGAACTCCAAAACCCGATGAAGCCGATTGCTATAATCAGTCTAATAAGAGTTGGTACGTAGTTAAAGAATGTAATATTATAACAGCTGCTAACGCCTTATAATATGGATTAGTTTCCAATAACATTTTAATTTACACACACTACCAATCGGATACCATCTTTTATTTGAAATATTGTACCCAGACATCAACTGATTCGAATTCGAAATCAGGTCTTATTAAGAACTTAATGAGTTCTGCAATAAGAGATCATAGTAAACCTCCTAGATTGCACCTATGTTGCAATCTAGGAGGTTTACTATGATCTCTAATACTAATACTTTTCCAGGATATAATGTATCCTAATACATTATATCCTGGAAAAGTATTAGATTCCTGACGGATTTTTATAGAACTAAAGTTAACGCGGACGAAGTTGGTGGTGCTAGTAAGTTCATGTTCATGTTCATACTTTTAAAAACATGTGGTGGAGATGGATTCGTAAATTGATCTCCACGTGTCGGGGTTGTTTTTCTGAAGTTTGGCTGTTTCGCCATCATTTCAGAGTTCTGCACAGTATACATGGCATTGCTAAACTACATCTGAGATGACTGAGTGAATTGCATCAGGATTAGTGAAATGGCTTGGCTTCAGATTATTGTTATGTTTGACCTGGGGCCAGCCATTTATTGCGAATCTATTTTTCGTCACGCGTCAAAAAACCTCTTAATATTTATACCGGTTTAACAAGAAACAGACTTCGTGATATCTGCAGATTTGGCAAAAACTAGGTCACCCTTTTTCAAGATTTTTATAGCTTAATATTCGCAGCTAATGGGTAAAAATTCTTGATTTGATAACTTTAGCCACGTATATCTTATCATTTGGCACGTATATGCTCTCAATATCGCCTAGGTGCAATTTCATTAGATCTCGTATTAAACCCATCTAAAAAAATCTAATGATTTCGTCACACTTCTTTCCTTGCACGGAGAGAATATTTATACGTTTACAATAAACTAATTATTATTAATAATAAATCAGTAAACTACTGTTAATAATATAGTATTTCATTACTTAATATTAGTGGTAGGTACTTAATGTTGGCAAAGATCAATTACGCAAACCAATTCTTTTATTCTCACGGTCCAAAAAAATTATGAATATTTTTGTGACGGAACATAAAACAATGGATAGTTGTGTACATGCGTCAGGTTTTTTTAAAAACTGTCTTTCTTCAATAGACTTTTGATGTGAAACATCTATTACGGCGGATGTGAGAGCTGGCTATATTGTAATCTGTAAGAACAAACTCACTTTTCACCGCGAAATTCGCCGGTGTGATTGGAAATTGATTTGATTTTCTCGTTCTAATTTTACATCACACCCATCAATATATAACTTCATGATCACACCGCAGATTCCGAAGTAAACAGTGAATTTGTTTTCCAGAATAGCTTTGCAGTAGTTGTTAAATGCAATGATTTGAGTTTCCGCAACAGGTAATAACTATGCAGTGAACTTACAGATACGCACCGTAATTTGGTCAACTTTTCACATGGGTTTCTCGTATTGACAAAGAAAAGAAACTGAGTTTGAAAAAGGTCGAATTGGTGCTCTCATCTGATGATGCCACCTCCATTTTTCATCTTAAAGACCGTAATGGAATAGTTTCTGTTCCAGATCCAATGATATCAATAGTATCGTTGTCTAGAGCTCACGGGCAGCACGGAGTTGAAAGCGTACGTATGCTGTGATGGACGCACACCATCAGGCGGTCCATATTCTTGCTATGCTTAATGCATAGCACTCATCATCATCATCCTATTAATGTCCCCACTGCTGGGGCACAGGCTTTCCCTATGGATGGAATACTAGAGCTTGGTATATGCTGTAAGATGGAATAGGGGGACTGAACCTTGACCTACCACGCGGGCCCAGTGCATCAAGGATTACATATATAGAAAATGTAAATGCTAACATTTTGTGCAGCGAAGTAGATATATGCGAAGTCGAGTGGAACTTTTCTAATATTTTTTTTAATAACATAACTTTGTGTAACCTTGCATGCTCTTGACTAACTTTATACCTATGTTAATTACTTGAGAATCACTTTGTTGGATATAATTAGACTTTGATATTTTATCCGATAGCATTAACTATCACAGTTTTATGGATTGTAAAATTGTGGCATTAGTGCTTCATTCAATTTCATTCCTAATACGCCACTAACTTAAGAATTTCTTTTTATATTATATTCATTAATTTGCAAAATATAATAAGATAATTAGTCATATTTTAAAATGAAATTTGACGATTAGATGTAGCTGTCTAAATGTATAGGTTATACGTTTATACAGTTAGATCACAATTAGTAAATATACAGGGTGTCCCACGGGTTTGTCACACGCGGGGAAAGTACATTAGATATAATAAGTATATTAAGATAGGATATTTTACTGAAAGAAGACCATTTTATTTTTAATAATAACTAAAACTGCATTCACATATTTTTTTCAAATCGCCTGCTACAACTGGGAACCAAACTCGTGAAAAAAACATTACGTATTTTATGATAACCATCGAAAGGGTAAAACATAAGGATTAATTTTTTTCTGAATAACATAGCATTTTAAATGAAAGGAAGGTCATGAAATTAAAGTTTTGTTCAGGAAAAAATTCTCTTACTCTTCTTCCGTGCTTCCAACAGCTTATGTTATCATTTCAAAGTATTTAATAACTATTACCTGCTCACTTAATAATATAGGATTTCCTTACTATAAGTACGTGAAAAAAATAATAAAGCGATACTTATACAAACCTACCAAGCACCGTTTCTTTTTTATTGTAGTTTGTGTTCAATTATGAAAAAAGACGAATTTCTTGATTTTTCTTTCATTTAAAATGCTATGTTATTTGGGAAATAATAATCCTCATGATTTACCATTTCGACGGTTATCATAAAATACTTACATGTGTTTTTTTATTTCGTATTACACTAGTTTGATTCCCGGTTTTGGCAGGGGATTTCTTTAAAACTGTGAATGCAGTTCTAGATATTATTAAAAATAAAATGATGTCATCTTTCAGTAAAATATCCCATCTTCAATGTTTAATATACTTTCCCTCCGTGTGACAAACCCGTGGGACGCTCTGTATTGTTATCTGTTATTAAAAATAAAATGAAAGGAAAGTTATTACTTACTAAAATAAGTATGTAAAAAAAACCCTTTTAGGTTTATTTGCAAAATATAATAATTAGTTAAAAATCAGGTATTAATAGGAGGAAATTCTCAGTAAACAATTATTCTCCTTTATTGATCGATTCTCGATAGAACATAACCATCATTTATTTTTTACTTTTCAAGAACAGCAATATCTTCCTCCGGTTAAAAACACCAAAAAAAATATACATTAAAAATTTAACGTCAAAAAAATCACTGGAACACTGTCGATCAGCATTACTTTTACACAATACATTTATGTTATGTCAATCTATAGACAGACAGACGCACTTGAAAAATGCTCACCATAATCACGTGTTCCGTTCACAGGACGAGCCCTCAATGAAAATTAAGTGGTTCAATCCGATCGCGTCACAATCACTACCGCACGCCGGAGTTGCGCGTACGCACGGGTTGCCTTAAGCCCGACCGGTCAGCGACTGCATCTCGCTCGATGTATTACGAGCTGCCTTACGAGACCTGCCGAGGGATAAAACGGCAATAATACAATAATGGAACCTAGAACCATAATCTTTGGCGATGGACTGTATTAAATACCTTCCCAAGTCCCTAACTAAGGCACCGGCCTACCGGGTTAATGAGTCGATAGTTCCGAAACGTTGTACCCGCTACGATAAGATGATGAAAAATTTTGATGTGTGTTGATAATACAATAGTAATACCTAGAACCACATTCAGGTTTTAATTCTAAAAGACCTTCCCAATCTGGGGCAGCACCGGATTTAATTCCCTTGTGAATGTGAGGTTAAGAGGATAATCCCGAAACATAGCATCCGCTATGATAATATGATTATAATACAATAATGGCACATAAAACTACAGTCTTCGGCCATGACTTTATTGAAGACCTTCCCAAGACCCCATCTCGGAAGCACCAGATTTGATTCCCTTGTCAATGTGAGCTTAAGAAGGTAGTCCCGATACTTTATAGCCGCTTCGATAACATGATGATAATACAATCATAGAATATAGAAACACAGTCTTCAGTGACGCAGTTTTTTGAAGACGGACGAAGACGAAGAAGCATGTGACGCACATTCAGTGCTGAAGTACCAATACCTACCTGATTAGAAAACGTTGCGTCGCCAATGTTCTTAATTCTCAAAACAAAAATTGCATAATATATTTAGTTCTATTATTATAATTTTCTCTTCTTGTAAAAATTAAATGGTAAGTGCCTGCCTGTATTTAAAATGTCTCAATAAATTCTACGTAACTCGACATTGAGCTGCTATTTAGTCATGGAAATTGAAGCGACACGTGGCTATAGAAAACTTCAAGATTATGTATATAAAAATGCATTGAATAACTACATTAAAATAATCTTTATAAAGTTAATTTAAAGGTAAACGACGAATATTCATAATAGTAGGTAATTACTCGACACTAGCGTAGATATTATGTAATGTTAAAAGCGACTAACAGAATAAAACCTGAGATTATTACACACAAAAAAACATAAGAATAAAGCCCAAATTATGCCAATTTTAGTTAAGTTAACCAGGTTCATTAATAGTGAAAATAATCAATTAGCAATTTGTAGAAGATCCGAAAGGAGTTTTGAGAATTTTCATCGGCGAAGGCAAAACACAAGTACAATGACCTTAGTTAGTAGGATTATCATTAACTTCTACTTTCTTTATTTTATGAATTGTTTACGCTTTATGTCTAAGGTATTATGGCCGTTCTTATAGAATCCATTAAAACTTGAAAACTATTGTGTCTTTAACGAAAACAACAAAAAGCTATCCTTTTAGTAAAGTAATAAAATTAACCAGACATTGCATAGAATTAACATGACATCTGCTGGATATTATGTTCATGAAACATAGTATCTAATATTTTTACAAGTGTTTCTTTATCTTTCTGTGTATAAACATAACATAATAACAAAATAGGTACAATACATGAACGCGTGTCCGTAACTAATTTATTTTGCACAAAAGAAGTTAGGTACGGTTATGATATTTAATATAATTACTGTTGTTGTTGACATTTGCAAAATTCAAAGTCGGTTTTGTCACTGTAGACGTACCTTGAAATTGAATTCCTTCAAATAGCGAAAAAATGTTAGTTTCTCCGTTATATGTATAAACACAAATATACGCACTTTGTTTACCGCTTCCATACGATAGAATAATAAGCGTAATAAGCGAGGGCAGACGTAACGGCGTGTGAATCGCTCGGGGTCAAGTATGAATAAGCTACGAGAAAAAAAACTCCTTGTATTTGTTTACTAAGGTACCTAAGAACTTACAAAAAATGCCCTTTACCGTTTTAAGGTTCAGTAACAAAATGCGATCCAAGACACCGCCGTCTGTTAATATTAAGCTTGCAATGAAACCTTTATGACATTATCGAAGATTGCCGAGAGCTTAGTAGAAAGAAGATATCAATAAATTTAATGTTCTGTGACCTGAGAGATGTGTGGGTAGATATTTCCTGCGAATCAATGTGAAAATCGATTAAAGCTTATTTATCAGTTTAAAGCCTGTACCCAATTTGTCTAAAGGTAGCAACCCCTGTAACGATACTTGAATATCCAGTAAACAATTTACAAAATACATGAGCAAGTTTAAAAAAGTCACTAAGTGCAAGGTTCTCTTCAATACTCCTCTTGATAATTTTCTGAAAGTAACAATTACGACCAGGCGGTTCTATCATTAAAATATTGTTGAAAAGTATAATATCCTTTCTTAAGCAAGCAATTTTTAATGTGTGTTTTAAATTCATTTAGTGTCAAATCAAGAATATCACTATGAATCTTAATATACAATTGTATACCTTGACCCATAAATGATCCATGAACTTTATGTAACCTGTACAATGGTAACTTAAGTTTGTTTTTATTCCTAGTATTAAAAGTACGTCACTGTGTTTGAGCTAAAAGCTAATAATTGTAAACAGTGAAAACAGTTGTGTTAATAGGAAGTTGTCACGTTAAATTTTTATTTAGGTAAAAACCATAAAACATTTTTGGTACTTACCACATTAAAACATGACTGCAATAATTAATAGCGCAATTTGTCCATTAACCACATTTAAGGTACCTAAACCGTCAGTCACTCTATCGCTAACTTAAGATTAAGTTACTTGTACTTATTTACTTGGCAAAACACATTACTTGCTTTGTTATTACTTAGTTAAAGTAATAACTGCAGCAAGAATGCAGCAGTATTACGTCCGCATGACGTAAAGGCTATGTGATGTTATGAATACTATTATACAATAACCTTTCGAATGGTTGCAATTCAGCTAAATAACAACGACCTAGATAGCGGACGCAGCAAAAAATACTATCGATTTGATCTCATAAAATCACTAATACTCCGAGTCGGAAAGGTGAATTTCAGGATTTTACTACTTTCGTTTTTTATACAATCGCCAATACTGTTACCATTCATTGGCATGGGTACTACTTACCAGTCATAATTAATAAAATGCCTTTGTAATACCTGACAGTAATAGACATACGCACGCCTTATTTCTTATTTGGTTGATGAATTGTTAACCCTCCTCAAAGTTTCTATTACCCTAGATTCTGGAAGATGAAAATGTATAATTAAAATATTTCCTTGCAATTTTTATCATATTCTTTTGTATTGTCTACATTTTTCCTGTTGAAATATATACCTTACTGCACAGGTACAATGAACTGAGTGGTTTTTTGTTTATGTCCGAGAGCGAAAAAAAATATGAGATTTGAAGCCACGACTAAAATAAATATTGCAAACATTATGACAGTAATCAAACATCTATTATATTTTTTGTAGTGTATAATATGTTTTTATTACATTGTAAATAAATATTTTAGCGAAATCGGTCTTGAGCCTATACCATCAGCTGCCGGGTCAATGTCCAGGTTTAATTTGACAGACCCCTTCTGATATCCTTGATGTCAACCGTATATTTGTTTAAGACTAACACGATAGTTAAACGGATAAGCATACCTATTAATTTATCAAAATATTGAAAGAGATTGTTTTAATCACCAATAATTTCAAGCAACTTCAAGGGTCGTGGCGTGGCCTATGTCCAACTTGCAACACCATTGCTTACATGACTATTGTTCTACTGTAGTTAAGTAAATATTTAGATCGTGACAATGCAGTTTTATAAAAAAAGGAAGGAATTCTATGATAAACCGTTTTTTTTTATTTCAAAACCAAAAGTAAATGTTCCTCAAGGTGGGTCATCTGCGTGTTTCTTTTTAGAAAACCGGTCAAGTGCGTGTCGTGCCACGCGCTGTAGGGTTCCGTAATTGCCGGTCGTTACCACAATATATCTATTAACCAAAATCATTTATTCAGTTTAGGCTGTTACAAGCGTTCATGAATGTCCAGAAGCTACCGCCATCGGTTGGTAAAAAATCTACGGCGGGAGACCTTGTACCGAGAAGAACTGGCACGAAACTCAGCAAAAGCAGGGGCTGTTTTTTTCTACTTGTATTATTATTTACAGTCGTCAAGTTGAAAAATGACCTCAGAGATGATTCATGGAGTCACCCTTCAAAATAGTATGTGAGATATACATTAATTGTTTATCTACATTTTGATTGCTGTGTCATACAGTATAAATACAAGAATAAGATTTAACTAGGAATTAACATCAATATTATATGTATTTCAGAAGAAGTCTTTATTTTCTTTATTCAGAATATCAATATTAACCTTTAAGTACCGACGTGCATTATTTGTAACGTTAGTACCGATGTGAAGTCTGAGAGACCGCGTATATAATATCGAGTATTATGAAGAAAGTGATGAGTTGAATATTTGTCCTTCCATTATAATGTAAATAAAGGGTTTTAAGTAAAAATAAGTATAGAAAAAAAATCTTTGAATACATTTTTGAATATATCACTACAATTATATTTGGCTTATTAGGGGTATTTGACAAGTTTAAGAAAACGATCTCACGTTATTGACTAATGTTTATAGAGTCCGTAAAAAGTGGATATTCGTCATTCTGTTGTGTATTTCAGTAAAAAAAATGGTTGCCTGTAAAGTCGGTTTTACGGGCGAAGATTTTACGTGACAACGTCTTTTTCTCGGTAGAATATTTATTGATATGAATATAATTAAATTGCACAATAGGAACAAGGAATTGAATGAAAATAAGAATTGCACAAATTTTAACTATAGAAATATATTTTGTTTAGTAAAACATTGTACATGTAAACTTAAACTTAACACGAGAGACTCATCGTAACGTTACCGAGCGTTACACTTTTTCATAAGTGACTCCCAGCCGCAACCTAATTTAAGACGTTGTCACGTCAATAAATCAAAAACTCCATTTTGAAGATGCCGCGAAAACGTTTTTCTGGACGATATGGCTTATAAATGTTGGTCTTACTAGTCAGTGACGTTACACGACTGTTATTAAAACGTCAAACGATACAATGTAATATCAGTTAAACCGGAAGTTTACTTGCGTGTGACGTCATTTTAGGCTCCGCCAATCCCAAGCATTTTGGGTCACGTGACAATAGATAAGAAAACTATAAACCCACGAAGGGTTTATAGTAAAATTATGTTTTATTTTTTGTAAAAATAGTAAAAACCCCTGCCAAAATTCATTCTAAACACAGATGCTAACAGTTGGCACTTTATTTTTAATACTGTCAAATACCCTATTGGGGAGAATATGGACAAAAGATATTCGTCTCAGAATAACAATAAATAGTAATTCTTAATAACGACTAATATAACTTTAGAAAAAAAACCTTTTGGATAAAAAAATGTCCACAGTCTAACTACACCTAAAATTCAAAGCACATCCAGGGCATACCTATTTTGCTCACTGTAAATAAACGTGTTTTTAGCACGATAAGTTTTTATGGGTCCATTTTATTTTCAGTTTAGGATGGCATGAAAGACAATTCTTTCTGTCTTGACATCCTTAGCTTCACCTATTTCTGGCTTATCAGAACCAAGTACTCTTGCCAAGCTTGGCTGTGATCATTGAAGTTAAGCAACTTTCGCGGTGGACGGTCATCAAATGGGTGATAAAAACTTTTCACTAGAGCTCCTCCGTGCTTCGAAAGGCACGTTAAACCGTTGGTCCCAGCTGCATTAACAGACGTTAGCATTCACCAATCCGCACTGAGCCGGCGTGGTGGGTAATGGCCCAATTTCCCTATTCCATCCATTGGGAAGGCCTGTGCCCTAGCAGTGGGGACATTAATAGGCTGATGATGATAATACATATCCGAGATCTTTTTGAATGCTGTAAATCTGTCGCACAACTATTTCGTCCTTGAACCGGAAGTCCTTAGTGTTACTAAAAATCATAATATCTGTAAAAATAAAAGTTTACTATAGCAAAAAGTAAAACTAAAAACTTACGTAAGTAATGACGTGAGGCCTGTGAGACCGCGTTCGCGACGACAACGCTGCCTGTTGAGACGTTGTTGTTGGCAGTATCCTTCCAGCTACTAAAAAGTGGGAATCGGTATTGTGCGGGAAGAGGGGTAAACTAACAAGTCAAGTACCTGCGGGGGCCTCTCAGACCGCACGTCGGTACTTAAAGGTTAATTGAGTTTATGTTCATAATAACCGTTGACACTCAGAATAATTATTGTCAGAGAACGACTACAAATTTTGAATCGTTTAGAGCAATTCAGAAGCCATTGGTAGAGGGCCATCTAGATGCAGTTCTATGGAACTAATGCTATTTTATTGTGGGTTTTGATACATAGTTTACTTTTAGATTTTATTTTTAAATGCAAGCTTTTATGCGTTATAAAGAAGCAATTATTTCATCTAGGTCACTTTTAATGTTTTCTTATAAGGATTTTTTATACGGTAAAAACTTTTCTATTAGCTTACCCTTTTTTTTAAGCATTTAACTGCTAGATTTTTAAATCTAAAGCGCTGCCTGGTCCGCGTGGATTTTTTTCTAGTAAACTTTTCTTTAGATAACTAATCTATCTTAACCGTTATAATTTGCCTCAAAAGTTCATAAAAAGAACTATTATTATGAACTTTCCAGATTTTTCAAGCCGACAGTTTAGCTTTTAGAGAGGGAGGGCGCCCTACTTGGACAAAAATTAGCACTTTTAAAGTTTTATATTTCGCAAATGGATCTCTAAATCCAAAAGTAGTCTTAGCAACCTCTAAGTAATTTTAAATGACCTATCAAATAATACGTGGGGTATTGAATGAGGGAATGATGAAAAAAACATCCCCACTTACATGTTCAAAATTTTATTCTACCACTTTGTCGGCATATACCTAATCAAACTACCTGTGCAATATTACAGCTCTCAAGTGCTAACTCATGGTTAAGGAAGTGCAAAGGTTTTTAATTTAAAATACTAAAAATAATACTAGGTACTTACTTATATTGATGTAGGTAGTTATCTAAGTAGGTACTTATCATCTTATCACCTTGTAATTAGTGATTCGTGATTCGAAAAAGATTTGTAGAGTTAATTGCCTTTATACAAAATCAGAATAGAACGCTCTTGTATTACACAATTTTGTACCATACTTAAAAATAGAATTTTAGACACGCAAATCATAAGCGGATTTACTCGTATGTCGGTATCTAATTGATGTCTCAGGCAATTTCCTAAGTTCTAAAAACAGCGATAGAGTTCAAGGTTCACGATTGAAAATTTATCGAAGAGCTTGTCTACGTCATCAGCACCCGAGGTCGATAAACAATTATCTCTTCGTATTGTCTTCACGTCTATTTTGCGCCTCTCGAGATATGAATTGCAGATAAGCAATAATTAGTTAGGTATATACAAGAAGTACGGATTGATTCATCTTCGTATGGGCAAATAGGGAGCGATGAACTTTTAGAGTCGTCTAACGTTCGTTTTCAAATATCCCTACTTCCTAATAAGTTATACTTGTTTATCAATACGTATTTTTTACCCACCCGATTAAGTCATACTCCATCCAACGCGGCGTTAAGTGTGAGTACAACTCCCAAAAATATTTAAACATATCCCTAAAGATAAAGTCGCGAGTCTCTTCATTTCTTATTTCCTTCTCTCACTGTTACTGTTACAGATCTGGGGGCCAATCGCTTAACGAGATTACTATTGTTATCGCTATCGCTTACGGTTTCATTTTGTTATTTCAGACCGCTGAAGATTTTTTCTTTTGTAATAGTAACAACAATATTAAAGAAATACGCGGAAGGTATTTGAAAACCTTCGGCGGCGCGGCAAGCGATAGCGATAGCCTTAGC